TTTGTTTCAATATAAATATGCATTGTCATAATTAATTTTGAATACAAACAAGTTTTGGGGTTGAACCAACAGTGGGGAATCAGTCTACCGAATGTCCTTAAAAGATGTAAATATCTTACAAAAACATTGGTGCCTTATTTGTTTAATTATTTTAAGGGGCATAGTTTCCAACTTTATTCAAAGTAATTCAGATATTTTAGTATAAAAACAAATGCCTCATCGCAGAAAAAAAGTGCTGCATTTAGACGTGAATAGATTCATAAAACATGCAAGATAACAGAAAATCTTAGCTGCCTTTTGTCCAAGTATTTTGTAATGATTCACTGAGACAAATATGAACTGCCTCATTGTGTGACTACTGTATTATATGAAAAGTAAAAAAAAAACACCCTCTATGAATAGCTATCATGTTGCAAGCTTTGCTTTCCAGTGGAGGGAGAAGTCAACAGTACTGTTGCCTCCTGAGAATCCACATCTTCAAACACGACAATCTTTGTTTTTGAAGTGCGTTTTTAAACTAGTATTATAAAAACTATCATTCTGTTCTAATAGCTGAAACATATTCCTGAGAATTTTCATTTGTCGAATGAACTGTTTGTCAAATACAGAATACATATATTTCAGAACAATTTTCTTTTCAAAATGTGGATGAAACTTGCTTTTTATGTATTTTTTATGTATTATTTTTGATTTGATAATTTTGAACTAAACAGATTTTCTATTAGCTTCAGATCTTGATCAAAGTTTGGCACCCAGTTCATAGGAGTGCTTATATTGATTTTCTGACATCTTGTTTTCTGTAAAGATTTATTGGTAGGTTTGCAAATGTGTATCAGACTGTGCAATATTTCTCTCCATGAGTTGGTTTTGAAACCAAGTATAGTATTCCCATGGGATTTGGGGGATACATTACCAAGGATATTAATACAAGATAAATCATTTGCTTCATTGAACACATACAACAATGCATATTTCCACTGAGATCAGTGACCTTTGATGTGTATCACCAGTCAAGTAGAAACAGTCAAAATATTTTATCAGATTTTCTCAATTTTTGCATGATATTTTAATACAGGACATCTGTTGTTCAAACTCAGGGAAGACTTTATACTGATGAATAAGGTGACCAAGTTTGATAAAGTTTGGAATAGAATTAGTAAAGTTATTATGCACACAATAACAATTATTAACGACAACACGGACCAAATTTTTCCCTTAATATACCTTTCCCTTCCATCTTTGATGGTACGGGCAAGGTAAAAACAATACACACTCTTTTTTTACAAACAAATACACCTTGTTCAGTTATTAGGTTCATACAATGTAGTTATGCAGTGTAATAAAACGTTATATTGCTTGATTTCATCATAAACATGTTGTAATG